GAGCTATTTTTATTTTTTATTTTACTTACAACTCTGCGAGGGTCTTTTTTGTTTTGTTCATTAGTGAAGTTTACCAAAAATTAATGGACAATACTAATTTGATGGTGATCTAAATTTTGTCGTTGTTGCGCACTCGGTTTAGAATAGATGAGTTTCAAATGTATCAGTACTTTCTGTATTTTCAAAAATATTTGAACGTGTAATTTATAATAGAATCTATAACAATTTTAACGAAAATAATTTATTTTACACAAAACAGTTTGGTTTTCGAAAAAAACATTTAACAGAACACGCAGTAATTGAAATAGTAGACCAAATTACTAAAGGATTTGAAAATAATAGCTTCACTCTAGGATTATTTATTGACCTATCAAAAGCATTTGATACGGTTGATCACCTAATTCTTTTGGAAAAAATAAAACACTACGGAGTGATAAATAAAACCTATGATTGATTAAAAAGCTACCTCAATGAGAGAAAACAATATGTTATTAGTAAGGAATCAGGTCAACTTAATATTTTGTATGGAGTTCCACAAGGGTCAATTCTTGGTCCATTGCTTTTCTTGATTTATGTAAATGATTTTAATAATGCATCAGCTAAGCTTAACTCAATAATGTTTGCTGACGACACAAATCTCTTCCTTTCAAACTGTGACATTAATCAACTGTATTCTAACATGAACTTTGAACTAATGAATGTAGATGAATGGTTTAAGGCAAATAAACTTTTACTCAATGTAGATAAAACAAAATATACTTTATTTCATAGAAATTCACAAGATGAAAAACTTCCTTTAAAATTACCTGATTTGATTTTAAATGATGCACTAATTAGTAAAAATGATTCAATAAAACTCTTTGGAATTCTTATTGATGAAAATTTATCATGGCTTCCCCATATTAGTTATATTTAATCAAAAATTAGTAAAACAATTGGTCTGATGTACCGTATTTGTCCATATGTAACATCAGAAAGTCTGAAATTAGTATATTTTGGCCTAATACTAATACATTATTTCATATACTATGCCAATATCACATGGGCTAGTACTCAACCAACAAACCTTAAAAAAATATTTTCTTTACAAAAACATGCATGCAGACTTATATATATATATATATATATATATAAAAAGAGATACTATTTTTTTTAACTTGTAAAGCCCACCTAGGGGCTCTATGAAAAGATTGTGGTGACTTTAGTCATCCGTATATTCTTTGAGCCCCTGCCTGTTTCTTAAAAAATCACTTTTTTGAATGTAAACGTTTCTTTGTAATTATATTTCTTATTATATAAACAGCAAATATATATAAAAATAAAAAAAATGGGTGAAAACTTTTTTCCAATAGGCAAATCTAGGTTTCGCGTTTAAATAAAATCCTGACCCGAATATAATAAGCGCTTCAATATCGAATTCGTTTTTAATAGTGATAAGCACGGCCGACGCGATATGGGGGGTGGGGTTTAGTCGGCAAATTGGACCCTTAGTCGGCAAATTCGACCCTTTTAGACTAGTTAGTCGGCAAATATCTACCCTTTCGATATAGGTTAGTCGGTAAAGTAGGTAATGTAGACAGTCGTCATGGCAGTCGGCAAATTTTGGAAAATGAGGACCTTTTCCTTTTTTTTTTAGTCGGCAAAATGTAGTGGCACCCCCCCCCCCCCGTGACACCTACTCGCGCCGGTTCCTGGTGATAAGTTATATCAAATTTTTTAATAATATATTGAAAATAATTATTTAATATAATATACATCATAATTATCTATCGCAAATTATTATAAAAAATTGAGTATAAACGGTTTTAATAAATTTAAATAATTCGGGTCTTGATTTTACAAAAAAAGCGAAACCTGGATTTGCTCATTTGAAAAAAGTATCAATCTTTCACATGTTTTCAAATTCTCGTTTTCAAAAAAAGATGCGCGCGCTAATTTGTCAGTAGAAAAACAAATAATCGGAAATTTTGCAGTAAAAACATAGAGATATTTGTATGTTATACTAGCTCACTGATTCTTATTTACCCACTGATTAATTGATTTATTAGAAAATAAACTATTATAACTAGTTGTTGTGCAGTTGGTTACTCAAACAAATTTAAAAATGAATGTGGTTTTATGTTTATAAATTTTTATCAGTAAAATCGCCTTTTGAGAAAAGCAGACTGGATTAAATCTATTAATCATATATGATTAATAGATTTAATCCAGTCTTTACTAATTTTTTCACTTTCCCAATACTTATGTATAAGTATTGAGAAAGTGAAAAAATTAGCAAAAAACGAGTATGCAGTGCACATTTTGTATCAGGTATGTTCTTTGATGAATGTTGTTAGCTAATAAAACTATATACGTAGTAATACGTTTAATAAGATTCTTTAAATTAAGAATTTATAATATTTGGTACATTTTTACAAATTGGTACAAATTACCTCAATTGTAAAAAGAACTTATTATATTTTAGGAAAACGTTCTGATGACCCATCTGACTTTGACTGGATATGTCCATCTGTATTTAATCACCTTGAAGCTTCTCTGATTTCTAGTTTGGTTAAAAAAAGAAAGAGAAAAGATTGCTATAAAGCTTTATGTAAAAAACGATCTTTCAAAACATTAATACTGCTATCTAGCCAATCGAATAATATAGTGCTTGATAACTATAACGATAATTTAAATATTGACATAAATCCACTAAATGAAACAGCTATTTCTAAATTTTTTCAGCATTATACTTATAAAACAGAAATAGATACTTTTAACTTTCAGTTAATTCAATACAAAAATGAATTGATCAAGAAATCTAATAAAATCATTGAACTTAAAAAAATAATCCCAGACTAGACCATAATAAATATATTTCATACCAAAACCTAACTGGACTAATAAGGAGTAGCCATCTTATGTGTTTTAAAAAAAAATTTCAAAGACTGTGTCAGTATTATTGATTGTACCAAAGTGTTTATTGAAAGACCAAAAAATGTAACTTCACGTTCACAAACTTGGTCTAATTATAAACATAACAATACCATCAAATATCTTATTGGTATTACACCACTTGGGGCAGTTAGTTTTAAGAAAAACAGGTAACGTTTGAGTCAAACTTTTGTCAAAAGCTTAATCATGGCAACTTTGTTCTTGCTGACAGAGGATTCAATATTAAAGACAAACTAAATGCTGTTAAGGCAACTTTAAAAATTTCAGCATTTACAAAGGGTAGACAACAATTATCTGGATGGGAAGTGGAAACATCTAAACAGATATCTAATTTTTTCATACATGTGGAATAATGAAATAAAAAAGTTTTGCATTTCATATGACTGTGCCAATCACTTAAGTGGATTTGTTAGATGGTATTGCGATTATTATTTTCCTAAAACTTGATCTTTGGCATATACTTTGCAGTAAACTTTCCTACTATTTACTGTTGATTTATCAATCGTTTTGAGAATAAGATCTTTTTTAATTGTTAAAATGAAACTTTGTTCACCTTTTAACTACAGGGGAGAATACAAGAAAATCAGCCTCAGTTTACTAATTGTTAACTATTTTGAAAACTAAGTGTTATTGTTGACTTCCAAAAACAAAATGTATTTAAAAAGAGTAGAAAAGTTCCAAGAGCAATTTTTAAATTTAAAATGAGTTTAAAGTTTGTACAAGAACAAATACGCTGATTGAGTTTTTATAAACCCACAAGCAAAAATGTTGATTAAATGAAACGTCTTGAGGAGAACTATATATCAATAAAATGAGTACTGAAAAGTTAAATATATTTAACTCTAATCACAACTTTGTCGGCGTACATTAGTTAGGTGACCTAACTAATAGTAAGTATTGCACTCTCTAACATTGTGTGCTATCCTGTCCGCATACTCTATGCTTTCTTTCTAATTCGACTACTTCTATCTTTCACTCTAACATTTCTTTATTCTTCCCAAACTCACCTTACTCTCAGTCCGTAGAGCGGATATGACGCTTCTTCGGTAGCTCAACTAGTCTTCTAAATATATGTTTTGATGTATAATCTCATCCCGAATCATTTTGAAAGTGATTGTCATCTACGAAGACATAGCAAACGAAGCAAGTTGGGTCGAACTAGCGGACTAGCTGGTAAAGTGACCTCTATATGGCAATTAGCCGGAGGAGGTTAAACTACAATACACAAATTTTTTAATTGACTATTACTATTTTATCATTTAAATACTGTTGTATATTTGTTACTCTTTAACTTTTTCTATATTTATATCTATATTTTTCCTATATATATTATATTTATATTTATACCTATTTTCATATTTATACCATTTTTTTTTTTTCTATATTTATACCTATATTCTACACCTATACTTGATTTCCTGTATTACTTCTATAAAGCTAAACTTAAGTCATATATTTATGACAACATTAAATAATATGTAACTTATTAAAAAAAAAATAATTATTCAAAATACTACAAAAAATATAAATAAGTAAAAATGGGAAACCCATGTGGGTCCCACATATGCAGCCCATATGGGCTGCCCACTTGGGCCCTAATTCACGCCCAGTGACAATTTTCCTCGAACGGGATGTGAGCAACCTATTTGGGCCCCATAAAGCTACCTACTTGGGCCCCATATGACTTGCTGGCTGGGAGACACTTCATTAACTAATTATCAACAAGCAAATATAGCAGAGGTCTAAAATAATTTTATAAATTAAGTAGATTAGTTTTAAGTATTTTTTGGTCAAATGACTTATACAATATTCATATTGTAGCCAATTATATATGAGAAATACCAAATACACAATCGAAATCGAAAATACACAATCGAAATCGTTGTTCAAAATTCTGGTGTAAAACTAGAGCGAAAGATTTTTTTGCTAAATGTTTTGATGTATAATCTCAAAAATCTTTTTTTTATAAAGTGAAAAAATATTTTTAAATAATAAAACAATTTAACAGCAACAATTTACTGTAATTATTTAAAAGATTTCAGTTAACAAAATTTAAAGAAACCTTATTAAATTGTATTGCTTAATCTTCAAAATATAAAAATATATTACAACACATATTCTTTTTCTAACTTATTAACCAGTGTCACAAGGTCAACTCTTTTCATAGTTGTGAATGCTGTTCTTAGATCATCAGTGGTTGGATTATTAACGCTATCTCTCCATGTTTTTAACAACTCGTATGCTTGATCCACAGTTCTTTTATTTTCTGTTCCTATTATTTCTATTACTGAATCTTCTATATTTAAAGTTCTTCCCAAATCTTTCCAATGAATTCCTATATTTGTAGCTAATTGATACAGAAAGTTCGAATTTTGAAGCACTTGAATGCAATTCATTTCTAAACTCTCTAAATTAATTATAAAAAAATAAACAGCTATTTAAAGAAAGGTTTAATTGTTATTATATATATATATATATATATATATATATATATATATATATATATATATATATATATATATATATATATATATATATATATATATATATATATATATATATATATATATATATATATATATATATATATATATATATATATATATATATATATATATATATATATATATATATATATAGTGGCGTAGGAAAGTTAAGAAAGCTAGAGGGCGATTAAAACGAAATTTAAGGGGGGCCAAGGCAGAGTTAGAATTATATATATAAAAAATATATACATTTATATATATATATATATATATATATATATATATATATATATATATATATATATATATATATATATATATACTTATATATATATATATATATATATAATCTTAAGTGCCATAAGTCCTTAAGGTATTTTTACAGAGTACCGCGTAAAAGCATTTGAAAGGAAATTCAAGCCTTCTTCTTTACTTTTAATATAAAACTTGCACAGACACGGGGTCGCGTTAAATAAGTAGACAACCAGTTCTGCGCAAGCGTCACGCGTGCACAAATATAGCATAAAGCTTCCGTTAGGTTGGTTAAATCTATCATTATATGGTCACTACTTTTTTCCAATGAGAAAATCCAGGTTTCGCGTTTTTTGTAAAATCAAGACCCAAAAAATTTAAACTTATTTTAACCGTTTACACTCATTTTCTAATAATAATGTAAAGTGTAATTATATTTTATGATTGTTAACGATCGATTTGCAATCGATAAAGTCATAGTTGTAAATACCAAGAGAATATGATTATATTTAAATTATGTTAAATTGCATTAGAAATATATGATTGTATTTAAATTATGTTGAATTGCATTAGAAAATATGAGGCACTTAACGCTATAAAGTCGATTTTGATGAGAAACTACAAGCTATTTCGGCTAAAATGTCGACTAAAATTGATTTAAAGTTAGTTTCGGAGTTTAGTGAAAACGATCAATAATCAGTTGCAGAATGGCTGGAAAAAGTGGAACTAGTGTGCAAACAAATTGGTGTAACCAATCTGGCGAGCGTTGTTCACCTCCGTCTCACAAATGGTGCATTTGCAGTATATCAACAGTTCGCAGAAAGTGATAAAGAAGATTTTGACCGGATAAAAGAGGCGTTGCTAAAAACTTTAGCCGTTGATGCATTTACAGCTTATGAACAATTCGTTACAAGAAAATTAAAGCATGGAGAGGCAGTTGATGCTTATTTGGTGGAACTGCAGAGATTATCTACGCTGATTGGTGGGCTATCAGACAGAGCTATTGCATGTGCCTTCGTTTTTAGGCTTCCTGAGAAAGTTCGAGGGATGCTGAGATCAAGTTCTCGTATGGACAATCTTACTACTATACAAATAATTGCACGAGCAAGAGCACTCATGATTGAAGAACGGAACAATGGAACAAATGAAAATTTTGCTGCTACTGCAACAAAAAGACGTGCTGAGTTGAAGTTGCTTGAAGATCAAACACAACCAGTTTGTTATGAATGAAAATTCCCAAATCATTTTGCAAGTGATTGTCATCTATGAAGACATAGCAAACGAAGCAAGTTAGGTCGAAGACGGGAGACAAGCGAAGTTTTGTTTTACTCGAGTCAAGAGAAAGGACACATATCAAGAATGTTCCCAAAAAACGTGCCGAGGGAGAAGATGTTTGCGCCAGCTTTCTCTCCAAACGATCCATAATGGCGTTACCTACTATACGCTTGGACATTAACGGCGTTCTTCGTAATGTGTTGATTGACTCTGGATGTACCTGCTGTATCATTTATAATGATACAGCAGGTACATTCAGAACCTTTAGAAATAGCTGCAAAATTACCTTTCAACCTACCCTTATCCCTCTCTGCGTACGTTCGCATTATTTTTTACGAAACCAACCTCTCTTTCTTAATTTTGACTTACTGTAACTTAATTTTTTATATAAATTGAAGTTTTATTAATTTCATCAATTATTTCTGATGAATTTTTATAGATGAAACACAGTGTAATATAAAATTTTTGTTTTTAAAAAATAAAAGTTTGCTAAGTGATTTGCTTCTAATTTATTATCGCTATGAATTTAAAGTCATCAGATACATTTGTTCCATATTTTCCAGTATCAGATGCAAAACTGAAAGCCGACTTTTTCATATATGTATACATATATGAAGAAGTCGGCTTTCAGTTTTGCACCTGATGAACTGGAAAACATGGAACAAATGTATTTGATGACTTTAAAGTCATTAAATACATAGCGATAATAAATTAGAAGCAAATCACTTAGCAAACTTTTATTTTTTAAAAACAAAAATTTTATATTACACTGTGTTTCATCTATAAAGATTCATCAGAAATAATTGATCAAATTAATAAAACTTCAATTTATATAAAAAATTAAGTTACAATAAGTCATAAATGTCTTAACTACTGTCAATTTTTTGACACACATTTGTAGACCATCTAGAGATGGTATCTCGATAAAAATACTCATCTTTGGCAGATGTTAAATGCATAAAATTTCACACATTTGTAAAATATGTTGACATAACTATGAAAAGATTTCTTTAGAATTGTTTACTTCTGCCTTTTTTAAAAATATATTTTTAAAGGGGGGTTTATTATAACTATTTTTTGAACTCGCTTATTTTAATAGCTTTTTAGGAGAAATTTATTCTCATGCCTGCATTATATGCTGATGCTGTTTTGAGAATGGATCCATTCAACATAAACCAACATTTTTATCTTTTAATTCCCATATGTATTTTGACAACATGGTGTCTTTTGAATACTTTTAAAGGATTGCCTAATATTGACAAAACTTTTTTCTCTTCACTTTCTGTTAAGCCAATATATTGTTTATCAGGTAGATTATTAGAGGAAACAACACATTTATATACCACGTTTTTTGATAAACATTACAATAATAATATAATATCCTTTCATTAGATAATTGCTTTTTTGATAATTGATATTTGATAATTAGATAATTACTTTCATTAGATAATTGCTTTTTTGTTGTAATTTATCGTAGTTTTTTTTTGGGATTTCTTTTTTATATAGAAACTCTTATTGTGACCTTTTAAAATTCTTTCTTTTTTTTGTACAACTCAAGCTAACTTTAATTGTATTTCGATTAAAGGTTTTATTAAATTTATTAGCAAGCGGAAAATTTCGCCATTTTAAAAACACTACTCTTATGTCAGTAGAAACATTTTTGTTATACGGGGGATTAAAACAAATCACACCTTTAGTTTTATTTTCTTTTTTGTATTATTTTTTTTAGGTTAAAATTTTAGTTCAAAACTTTTGAATACATTTTCATGAAAGGAACTTTGTTTAGTTTGTTATTAATTGGAATAGGGATTTTTTTTTTAGAGTTTTGGGTGGACAGAGCCGTGACTAGGCTATCCTCTACCCGAAATTGGGGAAGGGGGCGACAAGTGAATTTAGGGAGGTCATTTACCAATTTTAAGAAATTTTTTTTTGTGTGTAATACCTAATTTTAAATATTTTAAAATTTTAACCCTAATGACACTATTTTTGGGGGGAAAACTAGTAGCCACGGCACTAGGTGAATGATTTGAGTTAATATTAATACACAATAACTCATCGTTTGGTGTTTGAAAAGCTTTTATGAATTTTCAGAGAGGTTAAATGTGACATCAATAAAGTTAAATATATAAATCTAAAATATACAGTCCAATAAATCTAAAATATATAGTCCAGCAAGTTAACAAACTTTAGCTTCATTGTATCTGTCCATTGTTTCATCAAGACAGACATGTTTTTCTTTTTCAAGTTTGCTTATTAAAATAAAGTAAGGTTTTCCTGCAATGTTTTGTTATACGAATTGTTTCTTCTGAAATAAATGTGTGGATTTTCGCAAATTGAGTTGCTTTATCTAAAATGTCTGCAGTTAATGAGAGGTAATCATGTCAAGTAATATGTAGTTTCTTTTATTTTCAGTTATGTAGAACCAATTTAAAACATCACTAGTATTTTTCCACTGTTGTAAATTTAATATATTTAAAAAAATATAATTAGTTTTGTCCAATTTAATTTTACTTACATGTCTAATCTCACTTTTTGAGTGTACCAATAACTTATAAGGAAGTTTGTTTTGAAAATTTGATTTATGATCTTTAAGTGTTACAAAAACTTAATCAGGAACAGTTGATTTAATCTGATTTCAAGATTTTTTTTTAACGATATTTTTGGCTTCTAAATCATGTGCGTTTTCTAAATTTTTACGGACTTCCTAATAAGTATTAGCAATTCCTAATACGGCAGTATTTGTATATTTATTCAGTAATCAATATTTAGTAACAATTTTAATAAAATCGCACAATAAAAACAGTTCGTGGTACGAATTTATCTAAACTGCATATTCTAATTATTGACGGAGAGAGGCTGACAAAAACCCCTCTTTTCTGACAGTATTTGCAATTATAGCTGCGCCAGCCAAATTGCATGAATAAATCGTACTATCAAATTGCATGAACAAATCGTACTATCGAAGTCTACATTTAAAACGATTGAGTGATGGTGCGTTTACTGTAGTAGTTGTTAGGGAGTTCCAGTTTTTAACTACTCTGTTAGTGAAAAAAGTACGTCTTTCTTCACGTTCAGCTTTAATTTCACTTTAAGGTTATTGGAAACTATAACTCTCAAATCGCATTCTTTTGTTGTGGTTTCGAGTTGTTTGCGATGACCATTTTGTGATTCCATTGTATACAAATAGTTTGGCTTACTATTTTTTTTTTTGCCCATGTGCAAAACTTTGTATTTTTCAATGTTAAATGGCAAAGCCAATTTTTGGACCAGTTTACAGCAGTGTCAAGATCTTTTTGAAGACATGGTGCATCTTTTTCTGACTTGATAACACCAATGATCTTGCTGTCGTCTGCATACATTTTTATATGATTCAAAATTAAGTCCGGTAAATCGT